TGACGGCTATGTTTTGTCCAGCAGCAGTACGAATAGCAGCGGCAGCAGCAGCAGTAGCACTCCTTGGTCCCGAATTTCCGATGCCTACAGCTAAACAATTCTGGAAAGGTCTGCTGGAATCATAGGTCGCCTTGTAGCTTCGGCGGTCCTAGTTGCTGCCACTGCCGCCGGCGCTTGCCACTGGCGCGACGTCTTCTTCTCAGGACAGCATCCACGGGACATCTGCTGGATCTTTAACAACTGTAGCATTGTTGAACGCATCTGGAACCTGAACCCCAAAGCCAGCAAAGAGATTCAGCGCGAAGGGCCACGCACTTCTTCTGACTTGTCAGCAGCCATCTCAAGCCGAAGGTGCCGTGGCCCACCGCTTTGGGAGTGCATTTTCTGCGGGAAGCTCCAAGAACGAGGCACGTCGGCATGCTGTAAAGTGATCGCTTAATCACAACATCGAAGTCTTCAGGCTTGTTTGTGCAGTATTGGATCTAGGATTCAGGCTTTAATGACAGTCAGGTTCTTGGGCAAAATCTCCCGTTTCCCGGGTGGATCTGAAGCCCCAAGCCCCTAAGCCAACAAATGCCAAAATGAGCAGGAGACTCCAAGACGCACTCCCAAAGCGGTGGGCCACGGCACCTTCGGCTTGGGATGGCTGCTGACAAGTCAGAAGTGCGTGGCCCCTCGCGCTATTTCGAGTCGTCAGAATCTCTTGGTTGGCTTTGGGGTTCAGGTTCCAGATGCATTCAACAATGCTACAGTTGTTAAAGATCCAGCAGATGTCCCGTGGATGTTGTCCTGAGAAGAAGACGTCGCGCCAGTTGCAAGCGCCGGCGGCAGTGGCTGCAACTAGGACCGCCGAAGCTGCAAGGCGACCTATGATTCCAGCAGACCTTTCCAGAATTGTTCAGCTGTAGGCATCGGAAATTCGGGAACAAGGTTCCTGCAGTGCTACATGACATGGCATGTTGAAGACGTCAAAGAGGGAGACCGGAAAGCGGTCCCTCTCTTGTAAGCCAACAAAAGTAGTCGGAGGCGGCGCGGGTCAGTGTGGGAGCTCCCCGTGGCTCCTGTTACAGGGGGCAGGCCGGTGCTGTTACAGAAACTCGGGGTTGCTGTTACGGAATCCCTGCCTGTTCCCGTTACGGGTTCCTGTTACGGACAACCTGTTCCCGTTACGGCAATCACTCGGGACACGGGTACATTCCCTCTGGCTGTGGACCAGTGGATTCTGCATTCAGGGTCCGTTCTGTCATGGGTTTTCCGGAAACCTATCGTGCAAGTCCCCCCTCCGTATCTGCATATTCTGTACCTTCCCTCCATTGTACCACGTAGGGTGAACTTCACGATGTCGCCCTTCTTGCCCAAGTCACTATGACTGAGTTGTAACACTCCCCCGCCCAATGAGGAAGTACAAAGGGAACGCCGTGGCACAAATTCAATGGCCTGGTGAATGAAGAAGTCTGTCCCCTCCGGTCCTACAGTCTGCGAGATGAGGCTCCTGCAGTAACCAGGTCGCCTGCGGTGAGGAAGTTGTTCGGACTTGCCCTCCTCAGATATGGCTCGGCCTTGCTACGGCGCTGCAATGGGCCACTGAAGCAACACGGCAACGGATATGTGGACTCAAGCACCGCTGGGAAAGACGGGAAGGCTCCCCTGGAGTAACAGTCCAGGTTAACGCCCCGCCTCCCCCCCGATGCGAGGAGGGCGGCACAGACCCTCCAAGCAAAGGTGCAGCACTTGAGCCAAAATGGCTACTCACTCTCACTCTCTCTCTCTCTTTCTTTCGGAAGGGTTATGGGCAAGGGAGTTACCCCCCCTGCCCGCTCTCTCTCTCTCTCTCTCTCTCTCTCTCTCAATAGGTTCAATAGATCCCACTTGCGACGGAGCATCCTCATCGATCTCATCTTCCTTCCTTTCGCGCGTGATGCGGTTCACGCGAATGTTCAGGCCCTTGTCCAGATTGGGGTGGAACGTAGTCTGGCCAGGTGCAGGCACGAAGACTCCAGCTGCCGCCAAACAGATGCCAGCCTCATCGTCACTGATTTCTAAACGGTCCCATTTTGCATAATCGAAACCGGACCTGGCGACAGGCTTAGGCGTCGGCATCTGCAGTTCAACAAGGCATCTGCACTTCTGGCTGCCGTAGAACAAAAGTCACAAGGGAAAAAAATCTGCTTCAGATAAGGGACATCTGCAAGGCTGGCTGCTAACATTCGAGCCAACAGACGGCTGCAGGCAGGCATGGAACGGACAGCCAAGTGAAGATATGTGCATTGAGCCATGTGCTATCCCAAGCGCCCTGGCATGCGAGGCAAGCGGCAGCCGGTCTGATTCATCCGGGTCCAAGGAGCTGGCTTCATCGACGACGACTCCTGCTGCAACACATTTTTCAAGACGATATGAAGATGGACATGAAACGAGTACTCGCAATGTAGCCCCAGCATCCCCGGCACATCATCGGATGCATGAGCAACTTCGGGGGGTGTTGCAGCCTGCTGCGGCTGTCCCGTCGCCGGGAGGGCGACCTGTCGATCAGAATTCGGTGAGAGAGCAATTTTGCACTCATGTCCGCCCGACTTTTCTTCAAAGTCGCAAGCTGGCCGACTTTGGGCCGCGATCGGTCCGGTGAGCACGAGGCAGAACAGAGTACGTCTGCCTTCTGATCAAACACCTACAAAGTCGCACGACTTTCGCGGTGGCCACCAAGCTGCAAGGCCTGGTAGACCAACTGTTGCACATCTTGCGTCGCATGGTCCGACAAGTAGGATGACCAGGATACCCACTCGCTCTGAGGGACCCTGGACTCGTAGGTTCTGACAAAGTGCCGGCAGGCACTCAGCAAGCTGTCCTGCCGGAAGTCTATGGCAAACTTGCCTTAGCTCGTCCCCTCAGCGCACACGCATGACATTCACCACACATTTATTTTATACCCGAATTAGATGAGGTTGAATGAAGTTGCAGATGGGGCAGAAGGTAAACTCCGAGAGGTTGCAGCGCATATGCTGCACCAGGGCCGGGAGAACGAACCAGGTCTGCGACTCCGCGGCCAAGCGCGCCACGGAGACGAGCAAGGGCACCTCCGGCCAAGTCGAGCCCTCGAAGCTGCCTCAGAAGAATGTGGCACGCGGGCCCTCTAATTTATCCTACGTCTGACAACGACTCTTTGTTGGCTTCTTTTGCCTACCCTCTCGCCATCAAGTGCTTCTTGTGCCTGTGTAGATCAAGTGCAGGAAGGCCTTGATCGCTGCGCCCGTGGCGGCCAACTCAAGGCGCTTGGGGCTCGAGGGATCTCCCTGAAGCAGCGACGCAAAGACGGGTGAAGCCTTGCAGAGGACGAAGGAGTGGCAATGCGACTTGAAATCTGGTCTCAGACTCAGCCCGTCATCAGTTACTGCAAGAATTTCTACATCGGCCGTGGAGTAATCCTTCAAGATCTCGCTCCAGAGCTTGCTGAAAAATCCCCGCTGACCAGATGCCACAGGCAGCTGGGGGTTACCCCTCGGAGATGGCACCCTGAAGAGCTGATCGAAAGTCCGCAGCCGGTCTCCCGTGGTCGTCATCTCTTGGATAAGCACCTGCGCATCCTCCTCCGTCTCTGCCCCCATAAGGATTTGAGGCACCATGCTCCTGCGGCTGTTAGCAAACCTCGCACACACCTCTCTCACCTCTGTCTCTATTCCCTTCTCACGAAAAAAGTCCTTGAAAAGAGCTGTGCTGAGTTTTCCAGCCGAAGCTCTGCCAGATCGCTTGCAGAGTGCTCAGAAGGGAGCGGGCAGAGTTGCAGGCGAAGGGAACACTCCGTTCGCCGAACGTAAGGAGGTGCTTGCAGTTCACGGGAACGTGCTGCAGGGGGTCCTGCCACGAAAGTGAGCTTCTGTGACTTTTGTCAACAAGTCAACATCCCTTCGTTTCTTGTTGCGGCCACCGGCACCGCGCCCTTTGACATGCAGAAGTCTGCAGCCGCGACTCGTTGCTGGAAGTTCACCTGACATCAAGCCGCCAAATTGGAACACGTGTCTTCCCGGGTTGCCCGAGCTCTGCAGCTCCGCGCTGCAATTACATCGCATCTCATGATGACCTACCTCGCCCAACTCATCAGGTAGCCAGATGTTCTCCGCCAGGAGCGCCATGAGAGGGGTCCCGTAATCTCCGACCTGCTCAGACAGCTCCAGTTACGCCAGTTAGGATGAACTCATGCACCGACTGGATCTGGCAAAGTTGCGCAGCCGGCGACAGTCGGATGATATTTCTCCGTCACTCTCCCTCTTTCTCGTGCATGCTTGCTTGCTAGGGTATGGAGACCGAAGCCTACCCCACGTCGACAAGTCTTTGCGACGCCTTCCGGGGCTGGGTGAGCCTGCTAGACCGAGTGTGCCTTTGCACCAATCCCAACCCCCACTCCTGCTAAACCATGTCAAGTCTATCTCAGCAGGCGGGGACTCCCCAGGTACGATTGCAGGAGGAATGCGACGACTCCCGTACTGCCACTAACCAAACAAGTATAACATGACCAGTGGCCTCCGTCCCCCTCTCCTTTTGCATTTTGCATCCTCGGAGCTCCACTCTGCAGTTGCTCTGCGATGCTGCAAAGGCACCCCGTCCTGACCTGACCCCCTATCTTATCCCGCACAGAACCTCGCGCAACACTGCCTTCACCTTCCCACCCACCCTGAAATCTGACTGTGCATGCCGACTGTTGTCCAGCAGAAGCACGTCGTCAACACGGAAACCAGTCAAGTCCCTAGAAACTCAGCCGGCATGCTCGTGTGAGCTTCGAGATCCCCTCTTGCCCT